CCGTATTGCCTGTCCAGTCAACGCTATGTAGATTGGAAAACAACGTTTGGGACACTTCTCTTGCATTAAGCCATAGAGAATTTTTCACTACTACTACACAAATTCAGTTAGCGAAATTCAAAACAGGCAACATCACCAAGGATGAACTGTTTAGCACATTAGAGCCGCTGTTGGTCGCTACTAACGTCGTCGACGCTGACATAATACAGAGTCATTTCCAGTTACGAGCGACTATTCAACACTCTCGCCGTGCAGCAGTTTGGTCCGCTATGCTAAAGACAGCCGCCAACGCTGAAATCAAGAACGAATTGGCGACGATCGATTTCAGAGGGACCAAATTATTCGACGGAAAACTCAGCGCTGTGAATTCTAAGTTGGATGAGAAAGCAGCAGCAAAAGTTAACCGTGTGATGATCGAAGGCGCCTTTAAAGCCAAGCAAGCCACTAATAACAAGCAGAGCATCGCGACCAAGGCGAAGCCAGTTAACCAAGCTACTACGGGTCAGCCCAAGGGAAACGCAAAGGCAAACCCGAATCAGGCAAAAGGAAACAGACTGGTAACACTAAAAAGTCTTCCTGACTATACGTCAGCAAATATGGTAATGTATCAAAACAAGGTGCGATTAAACATGTCAAATATTACTCAAGTCTCCGAGTATTTTTGTCAAACAAATCAAACCACAGATCCCCTTACACATATACCACTTGCATTAAACGATTCGGTTCAGTGCCCAGGTCGGCGGGAACCAAGTCGTGCAAAACATCGTGCATTAAGCGATTTTGTTCAGTGCCCAGGATGGCGGGAACTCAATCGTGCACAACAAAAACACGGTCGGCCGCACCTCAAGTCGGTGGGCGATCGTATAAACAAACAACCGGCCGAATGCGTGGACCTAGGGAGAATGACGCATCGACCGGTGAAAAAACAGAAACCCGTAAGGCAGAGTCCCTACTCCCCTCCAGGTGGGAAAAAAAGGGGGGGAAGGACGTTAAACGGGGATATAACGCCGCATTCACTCCAGGGGGAAATGGAGAAATCGGCGATGTCAATGTATACCGCCACAAGCGACCGAGGGTTGGTGAGTCCCTCGACGCCGGTGGCACTGCGTCTGCAGAAATGTATTCCCTGGTGGAAAGAAACGATCCGTATGTGATATCGATAATAACACACGGGTATCGAATACCGTTGATAAAAGAACCGAAATGCAAAAAAAGAACATGTATTTCGGGGAAACCGGGCTCTACTCAGTCAACAATACTGAAAGAAAGCGTGGAAATACTACTCGAAAAAAAGGTAATTCAGCGGGTACAAAACCCGAAAAATTCTTTCATCTCGAGGTTATTTCCCGTCAAGAAATCCAACGGTGGGTACAGGCTGGTGCTGGATTTAAAGGAGTTGAACAAATTTGTGAAGAAAGAAACGTTCAAAATGTTAACTCCGGCACTAGTGAGAGCGTCAATTCAAAAAGGGGACTGGATGACGTCCCTTCGACTTGACCG